TGATAGTGTGCGGACATTGAACGCGGCTAAGTGAAAAGGAGATTTTTCTTTTAAAAATCTGATCGCCTCTGAGTAGTTGACTTTATTAGTTGAACGCGGAGTGATATCCGACGGGTCTCGTAAGCAAGAGGCACCTGGGATTATTTGGGATTGAGAAGGAGAGCTAGACACACGGTGTTTAATCGAGCAATAGTGTGTTCTTTGAGCAGGGTCGAAAATCCAAGGTTCCCAAAATATTTCTGTGCCCAGTCCACCCGAACGGTTCTGACTGAGTCATAGTGTGTTATCTTTTACTCCTTGGTTAGTTATCAATCCTTTTTGTCGGTAACTTCCATAGGTCAGCATCTGGTTTTTTATTACACAATGTCAATTACAGTAAACGGGGACAGCCTCATGGGCAGATTGCATGCTATAAAGGGGAGAGTGGGGAACATTCACGTAAGACCCAGTTTATTGATTCTGCGTTTTAAAAGGGCAAGATTGTATGTTGGGGGAAAACAACACGGAGGATGGTGTTCCACAGTTTGGCAGTTCGAAGGAATTAAGAAGATCGAGAGAGAGGTACATCTGGGAACAGAAACCTGATAAAGATGACTAGATGCATGTGTAAGGCATGCACGGGTAAAAGGTGCAGGAAGGGAAACTGCCGAAGAACAAAAACTAAAGTAGTAGCGGCGGATCAGGGACAATGAAGCAACTGCCCGACGATTGGCTAGCGACTGTGGGCTGGATGTTCGGGAGAGATAATCGATTAGCGTCTGGCCTTTCGTTGAACGCGAGCAAGAAAGGAAAGAGGGCGAAGCCCCATCCCACGCGTGACGACAGTATTCAAGAGCAGGCGGATTTCAGCTTCGTACAATAGAACATGAGCTGGGGTGAAAAAAACGTCTGGTGCGAACTAGAAATCCAACCTTGCGCGTAGCACGAGAAGCAAGCTTAGCTAAGAAAGGGGGCCAGCATAAGGAAGTTATAGGCAATTGAAGAAGGGAAACAGAGTCTGTGGAACGTAGTTGGGTGGAATTAAAAGACAACTGAGGGGAGAATGGTGTTTTAAAGAAATTGAAAGAATAGAGGTTTTAGAACTATTGAGTGAAACGTGGTTAGCCCCAGGGGGAGATCGGAGTCCAGTGACACATTAACTGCACTACCGTCATCATCGATGTTGGTTTGGGCATAGCGAGCAGTGCGGTATGAGAAGGAGGAGTGGAGTGTGGCGGCATCAGCAAGAGAATGGATCGAGTTGGCAGTTTGGGAAAGGAGATCATTGATAAATAGAAGGAAGAGGATGGACGCAAGTACTGAACCTTGGGAAACACCAGCGTTCACAGGGAATGGCTGAGATAGAACCCTATCAACTCTGATCGAGATGGTTCGCTTACTGAGAACACTTTATATCCACGCTGTGAGCGCTGGAAGGGATCCGAACATGGGTAGTTTCCCGAGTAAATCGTGCCAAACTCGGTTGAAGGCCTTTGGGATGTCAAGCGAGACCAAGTGTGTTTCCTCGTGGTCCACACTGGTGGCAAAATATGGTTGCTACGTGAGATCAGTGAGTGATGCTCCCCAACAGAAAATTCGAGGCGCTTGATCCCATAGAACTGTTAGCGGGGTGTAAGAGAAGTGTGACCGACCAAAAGCGAAGACACCTGCTGATACTAAGGCTTTCAGAGACGGATGAGTATTGCGAACATTGACCCCCGTGCATCCACCCACCGCCTACTTGAGTGAAGCCTAATACCGACATGTGTTAATGATTGTTATCGCTCGAAAACATTTGCCTCCTTGAGTACCCTTCATTTTTCGACTAAATGGCATTGCTGAATGTCATTGGGTGCGTCTCTAGGTTTCGCGTAGGGGAATCATCAGTCATGTGGCTAACTGCGAATTAGTCAGTTCGTTTCAACAAGCAAGCGGTCTGGGACGATCGGTGGCCATGATTTAGGACTTGGTGGTGGTTTCACCTGAAGAGAGGTCGTGCCACAAAGGCTATTAAAAGTTACCATTGACATGATGTGTGCTTATGTGATCCGCAACACAATAAAACTTGTTATGCGATTTTTCATCACAGTACAAGGAAAAGTTGGGCGTTTTAAATCCGAGATCGCATAAACCATGTGCTTGCATACCGGCTTCATAAAAATTACTTTCTCGTTGCCCTGCATCCCCGTCTTTGGTTGTGCAAGAGTAGGAGAAGAATTCTCGAACAAAAGCAATAGCCGCAGGGAAAACCACAACGTAAGGAATTACCAGGTATCTCCGGATTACTTTGTCATACTTTCTAATTCATGCTACGGCTTTCTCGAAAAGTGACTAGTTCTGCACCCTCGCAGCGGTTGAAGTGTTTTGTGAGCAACCTGGGAACCTCAAAACCAAAATTTCAGTTCACTTCTCCATGCACGTAGACAGTTTCGCTGTCGTCCTAAATACTACGCCTAAACAAGTCCCGGGGCTTCGGTTTCTATGCCTTAACAACAGGCCCTTGTGTCTATGCCCTTTACTCCGTGTAATAAAAAGGTCGATACATGACCGTGCACTCTGTAAACAAATATAGAGAAGATATCGCCCACTTGTCTGAGGCAAGACGGATCAACCCATCTCAGTCTACGGAAGACCTCTGGTTATATCATAGTGGACCACCTGAAAAGTCTGATCCTAATGGGGTATCTCTCGCCTTGAGTTCTACTGCCACGGAAGCCATTATCTAATGGGATCCTTTTTCTCCGAGAAGTACCTTTCACATTTCAGACTGTCTGTATCGAGGTGTACGACCCGGGGCTGCCGTTTGGCAACACCAGAAAAGCGAGTCCTGCAGCAACCAACCGAACTGGATTAAACGCATTCCCAGACGTGATACACTATTCGGTGATATCTGGACCGCGTGAACCGAGTCCACTACATCCTTGGAGAGTTCGGGCTGGATAGTTAATGTGAAAATAATGAACGTTTTAAGAACAGCGAGCACGCATCTAGGTGACTAGGTAGATTTGAGTGTGCTTCTTTCTGGTGGAGTGGGTTTCTCATGCTTTTGACCAACAGTATTTGCACTGTTAATAAGTCTTAACGGGAGTGCTATTAGAGTCTATGATTTTCCAGGAATAAATTGAGGATTGTTTGATTTTATTGTGATTTACTATTCTTATGAGTTGTTTGTTTCATTTGTGATTGAAACATGAAAGCGATTTAGGAAGTCACAGATTTTGATTTACAGTCGAAAATTGATTTCCTTGATCGTTTGGTTCAAGTAATGCGATGATAGACTGATTGGTGCACGCATGTAGATAAATCTAAAGAAGTGATTCAGTTGGCGGGATCTGGTCGTCCTTCATCATAGAGAGCTGGTCCAACTGATCGGTTATTCGTTCTCGTGGGCAGCTCTGCGTCAGATCGCTTTCAAGCAGATTGATGAGGCTGTCGTGAATGACGTCCAACCTGGGACGAACGAGTAGTGGTGGAATTGGTGTTGGGATCGACCAATGCCGATGCTTTCAAATTTGTCACGGGAATTTCTGTCTGATTGTTGAGTGCAAGGTCCTCGGGGCTGATACCTGTTAATCGGATAAGGGCAATAACATCCAGATTGGGATAACATCAGCAAGTGTAAATGGCTATCTGACGCAATTGTCACACGAGAAATGACCTCAAATTATAACGACGACGGTGATCACTGGTACTACGAAAAAAAACAAATTATGCGTGTCATCATTTTCTGAACGATCGAACCGTGATGAAATGAGGTGGATCAGACGGCCAATGCAATTTATGGCCCTATTTTTGAGCAAATATAAGCAGCTCGTTGCCAGATGTCTTACTTTTCACATTCCGATCCTTAATTATATCAACGAAGTAAGCTGTGTCTCACTTTGTCAGCTTTTTGCCTTAATTTCAGTTTACATATAAGAACCACTTGCACTNGGAGTTTAAATACCAGAAGGGACGATGGATGTGCGCTAGTGCTGTGTTCTAATACAAGCCAAATGCCAGTCTAACGTTCTCCGCGAGTGTACGGTTGACTAGATGAACTGCGTAAACATAGAGTCTGAAGGATAACCAATGCGACTCAGCATAACTTATCCCACCCCACTGTTCACAAGTAGCCGTGAGTCAGATGTGAATTAAAAACAATTCAACAATTAGGAAATACGTGAAGATGTAGCACATCACTGAAAAGTGAGCTTTTGTCCACCTATTTCACAATCAGGTACGATCATGACTGAAACATGAAGCGTCCGGGGTCCGTGAATTGAGTCCTGACATTTTGTGCTGATTCATCAAAGTCAGTCCGGTGAGCATTGGTGAGTGTCTGTTTGGTTTCAGTTCCTGGATGGATATTTAACCTCCCCGTGTCCAGTACCGATCGACCGGAAGAATCTGTCCATCACTTCTGTTTTTTTTTCAGTATGGATGACGTATCAACATGTCAAAAGTCAAGTGAACTAAAGCTTTATGCACCCAATAGGATGAATTTTCAGCAGTTTCGACAAGTTACAGTGAGGAAAACGTTAAGCATTGGAAAAAGAAAAAAATGCATTGACTAAATGAAAAACAAAATGATAAGATAAAATCCGGATGTGACAGATGATTGTTCAAGTCAGTAATAATATTTGCTCGGTTGACCAAGATACGAGGAAAATAAGGGATCATGCTGTTTTTGTATGTCGTGGTGCGTGCACAAAGAATCTGAAATTTGGGACAAGTACTCGGATGAGACACCAATTTATTTAGATGAGTGCAGACAGTGTTCTTCATTGGGCAGGATATGACTGATAAATCGATCGCATGAATCACAATAAAGTCAACCAAAACGGTCTCTGAAAAGCCGCTGCAACGAGAATAAAGTTTAAGAGATCTGGAAAGGAGAATAAAATCTTTCTGCTTTAGACCAGGAGAATATACGGGGGAACAGTTGAACCAATGTGGAAGAATTCATGCAGTCACAAATCTAAGAACTACATTTAGGGCAACACCCAGCGTTTTTAGCCTAAAAGTGTAGAAGAATAGCCTACGAACCTTAATATAAATGTTTTCAACATGCTTGGACCAAGAAAGATTGTGTGACAAAGTAATTCCAAGATATTTCACAGAGTTCGCTTTGGGAATGGTATTACTGTTGATAAAGTATTAAAATCGGTTCTCGTACCTCGGGTTAACTGAATTCCATTTCGCCTGTTCGCCGAGCTTGGCAATTTGTTTGCAAACGTTTCATCACTAGCCGAGGTGACATCATCAGTACTTGTGAAGTGGCAGTCTTCTGCTTGTATCCGTTCGTTTATATATGTGTTCTTCTTCACCCACCAATTTTGGCCCTTGTTCTCATTGTGTTCGACTGGGTTCGCCGTTAAACTGATGCGTGGGAGTGAGGTTGGTAGGGGAGGGGTTGTCCGTCCGTCCTGATTGCGGTTTCGGCCCGTTCTCAGGTCACAGTGTGACCTTTTTTGTTGCGTCATTTGATCCTTGAGTTGCAATGGCATGTACACGTGATCCTGTTCGATGTCCCTGTTGATTGAGAAGTGCTAAGCTTCGAGAAATTCTCTGGCGTGTTTTGACCGGGCTTGGTCGATAAGTTTCACTGAAGCGGAGTCAATCTGATGTCATTCTTGATCTTTGTAGAGGGAAATCAAAGATTGTGCGTCATGTCTCCTGACTACCGCTTGGTGTTAGCGGATTCTTGTTGACAGTTTTCTCCCAGTTTGTTCACGATACCTGAAGATGCGAAACAAACCATGCGACAAACAATCGTCCCAGCTATGATGCGAAAAGGAAAAACGAATGTACTATCAAATCTTTTGATGAAGTTGCGGGTGTAGCCGTTGCGAGCAAATACTCTGAGATGTCTTTCTTCTTGAGTATGTCGATGCTGCAGTGCGTTTGGATTCTTCCGAACAAGGTTATAAAACAGCATCTTTTGTGGCTGTGTTGATGATTACTTTTGAAGTTTAGAATTTGATCCGTTTGCGTTGCTTTGCGATAGACCGTGGTCTCCAGTTTTCCTGACGGCGTTTTGGTGATCAAAATGTCCAAAAGGGCTAGTTGTTTATCTGTTTCCATTGTGAACTTGATGCCATTGAATGTGTTATTGACGATGTTGTGTTCTTTCCAGTTCCGACTTCTTCAAGATAACAAATGTGTCATCAACGTATCGGAGCCAAAGTTTTGGCATGATCTTTGGTAGTTCCTCCTCCGCCAGCTTTTGCATTACGGCTTCGACTAGTAATCCAGAAATTGGTGTTCCTTTCAGTTGTTCTTAGTTTTCTGCCTCAAATTTGAAGTGTCTGTATGCATAGTTCCACGAGTTCGGAAATTGCAGCTGGTTCCATTGGTTGGTTTGGTGGGTGCTCAGTTGTCAATTCCCACAACGTGGATCTTGCCAGGTCCAAGTCGATCGAATTGAACAAAGCGGTGACATCGAACGAGACCATTATTTTGTTTTCTTGAATGTTGACAGTTTTGAGCTTGTCCAGGAATTGCCTTGAGTTCATGATGCTATACTCGTGTCCAGCGATGAGCGGCTTAATTTGTTTCCATAACTCCTTTGCTAACTTGTATGTAGCTGTTCCTGGAAGAGAGACTATCGGTATCAGGGGAATTCCTTCCTTGTGTACCTTCGGCAGTCCGTAGGATTATGGGATAATCGAGTATTTTTGCTCTCATTATCCAGTGCTCCTCTTTGGTTATTTGATATACTTCCTCCAGTCGCTTTAAGGTGGTGTTGATTTTGTTTTCCAGTTTTGCGGTGGAGTCCGTGTCGATCCTGCGGTAGGTGTTTGTCTTGGAGTAGTTTTTTGGCTTTTTGAATGTAGTCAGTTTTGTCCATGATCGCAGTAATTCGTCCTTTATCTGCTGGGAGAAGGATGATATTTTTGTCTATCTTCAGTGTTTTGAGTGCTTTGACCTCGCGGTTTGATAGCATATTTGTTTTTCCTTTTCGCATCATAGCTGGGACGATTGTTTGTCGCATGGTTTGTTTCGCATCTTCAGGTATCGTGAACAAACTGGGAGAAAACTGTCAACAAGAATCCGCTAACACCAAGCGGTAGTCAGGAGACATGACGCACAATCTTTGATTTCCCTCTACAAAGATCAAGAATGACATCAGATTGACTCCGCTTCAGTGAAACTTATCGACCAAGCCCGGTCAAAACACGCCAGAGAATTTCTCGAAGCTTAGCACTTCTCAATCAACAGGGACATCGAACAGGATCACGTGTACATGCCATTGCAACTCAAGGATCAAATGACGCAACAAAAAAGGTCACACTGTGACCTGAGAACGGGCCGAAACCGCAATCAGGACGGACGGACAACCCCTCCCCTACCAACCTCACTCCCACGCATCAGTTTAACGGCGAACCCAGTCGAACACAATGAGAACAAGGGCCAAAATTGGTGGGTGAAGAAGAACACATATATAAACGAACGGATACAAGCAGAAGACTGCCACTTCACAAGTACTGATGATGTCACCTCGGCTAGTGATGAAACGTTTGCAAACAAATTGCCAAGCTCGGCGAACAGACCAGAATCCGAAAGACGTTGAATGAGAATTCCGCGGTCAAGTGATCCGAAAGCCTTAGCAGAATCAAAAAACGTTAAATGGACAATGCCAGCCCCTTTATCCAATAAAGATGAAACGGAGTGAACAACGTGAGCAACAGCATCACGAGTGGAAAGCGAATGTTTGTAAGCAGACTGAATAGGGTCATGGGTGATAGCCGGTTAAGAACGACTCTTTCAAAAACTTTCAGTAATGGTGATGTGCAGGCAATCGGTCGAAATTGTAAGATCCTTTTTGGGGAATTGGTGTTATCCGAGCAGCTCTCCAACAATCACAGATGCTTCCAGATGACATACACAAATTGGACAACTTGGAAGTAGGTGAAGCAAGTTGTTCAGCACATTCAGTAGGAAAGGGGACATTGAATCAGGGATGTACGGACATTGCCATTTGAGAATGTTTGTATTTCGGGGGAATGTAAGAATAGGTGAATCGACGTCACGTAGTTGCTGCAGGTCTCATTTCTGTTAAATGACGTAGACATCCAAACATCTCAAATAATTTGTATGCGATGTACTAATCAAACATAGACGAAATCAGTCGAATGGAGCTTAAATTAGTGATCTGACTAAGGACTACGCAGTGAACTCTTCAAAAGACCCCTCTAGGAGGATATAGGAATCAGCGTCAATTAGTGGGCTGAGTCACATTTTTCTTAGACGCGCCAAAAATGGAGTAATGTTAGGTGGCATAAAAAAGTTCAGTCTGAATGTACCGAGTATTTTACGCTTCTATTGAAATGGTATCTAACGGGCAACATAACGATAAACGACTGGAAGTTATCTGGGGTTGGACGGGGTGCGTTTTCCGCATCTGATTTGCATCCAGTGCAATGCTGAACAATGTTCAAAATGCTACGACTTGGAGAAACACAAGAACGTTTCATTGTACTACCCATGAATGCGAAGATGAGTGAAACCACATTTTTTTCAACACGAAAGTGTCACAAAACACGCTATACATCTCAATGGTGTGTTTACGTTTCTGTAGAATACGCATTGAGAAGTGACCCTGATAGAACTGAAAATTATCTTAAAGCCGAATGAGAAAATATTAGCACCACGATTTATAGAACGCAAATTAGGAGGAAACGGGAAAGATGCGTTAAAATTTTGGTGCGAGAGGGTACATGATACACTGTACTGAAGTAAACTAAATCGTTACAACGATGGATCATTCCTATGTTTTTTCCATATCTTATTTGGATATATTCGTAAATAATGTTTGTATACCATCTCACTCAGTTTTTATTTCCCATTGTCGAATCAACCGTGACTTCGGTGACCATTGTATAAAAAAGGTCGTCGTGACTTTCTTCTCGTCGAGTCCGTTTAGATCGTCGAGTGTGCCCATGATTTTCGGGCGTTGATTTTTCCACAGCCCTTTTTCAGTTGGCATATTTGTTAATCAGGGGCCAATGGTGACACCAATGCTAATACAGAACAAATATACCAGATACATTTGTCAGCGTGTGAAGCTATTCATTTAAGCAAGATGAGAAAAGGCAGAAAATTATGCTTCACATTAGACGGGAACTCCTTAACTGGGTAATCCCTATAATAATAATCATAATCATAATAAAATAATTACCCAAATAGTCCATAACAATCAATAGCAGCTGATTGAAAGCCTCCTCCAGGTTTGTGGTATTCAACGGAGCATCAAACCAGCCCGGATTTTCTCGGTAGAATTGCGGATACACATTGCTCGCACGATTCAGACACCATTGAATATAGTCATTTTGTTGTTTGACTGCATCCTCGACCAAACCGGGTCCTTGTGGACATTGCAGCTTGGATAGGAATAGTTCAACCGGGNAACCGGGTACTGCTTACGCAACCGGTTTTCATGTAAGACACGATCTTCCGGTAGGCAAAGAATAAAACGAGGCTGCAGGCTGGTTAGTCGTAAATTGGTCATACTTTCCAATTCTCCGGTGAAAATGCCGGCCAATCCATGTCGAGCAACTGTTTCCAACGCAGACCATGTCAAACCGTATTGGTAGTCTGAGAACAATTAGAATTGAGTGATTGACAGGCTGCGAATTTCGACGATAAATTATCTTTGGAGTTTTTATTT